CCCCCTTTCCCCCCTCCACTCTCCCCTCTCACTCATGGAATGTCCCCCTCGTTTTACTACCAGGCGTTTGGATTACGAAGGACAGGCGACCGGTTCTTGGTGAAAGTAACGAGCTCTCCTCGAAATTGCTTGAGGTAAGGAATGAGCCTAGAGGGTTGCTGCTTCCCCGCCATACTGCCCTTCCTCCCCTCATTGTGCTCGGCTATATACACCCCTCCTTCCCCCCTCTTCTTTCTTGTCCCTGTTTCCGCAACAGTTCCACTTCAATACGATTCAGATAATTTTGTTGAAAGATTCAGTGAATGACATGGTGATGATCAACGACCAATCGTCCGTGAAACGGACAGCAACAAATTAAGTAACCTCATCACTGGTATCATATGGTTCAATGTATGTCCCGCATACCTGGCAGACACCTGTCTACCGTGATGAGGAAAAACTGCAAAACATAAGTGTTCGAAGGAGGTTTTTTTAAGTAAAAAAGCTGCACCACTGTAGCTGAAGACTAGTGACTAATATTTTTAGCGCGTAAGATTTGGAAAACTGTACTTCTCTTTGCAAAGATGCGCGGGATAGGGGGTGGGGAGCTTGATTCATCTAGGATCTAAGCTGCGCAGGGCCGGAGAAGGAGTGTGGCAAAAGGGGGTGGGGGAGGATGAAGGGTACTGCCCGCATCTCACTAAAGTTCCAAACTTGATTCATAAATGCCTGCTGGGCGCGGCTCCGCTTTGTGTGTTTGCCCTTGCGATATACCTATATTGCAGAGCCTCGCCTTGCCTTCCACAGCCTGCCTGCAACACCCCAGCAACAGCCCTGCAACGGCTACCGAGTGCAACACAAACAATAATTAGAGGGTCTGATGCTGTCGCGGCCGGAGGTGGAGATCAGCCCAGCAGGAAATGCGGCGAAGCAGAGGCGGAAAGTCGGCCTGCGGTCAGCGTTCGCAACAGTAATGGCGGTCGGCAGCGCGGGCGACGTTCTCCCGCAACGTGTGGTACGGTCGATAAGGATGTCGGCGTCAGGGCAAAATTGCATTATGGACTACCAACGTGAAGAGCGTTGAGTGAGGATGGAGGTGTCCGGATGCAGCCGGCACAAAACAGAATGGCCACACTCAGAAAAAAAAATCTTGCGATTCAACGATATTCCATCAAAGCAGTTTATTATAATGCTCTGCAATCTCAAGTGTGAGACAGTATGACAGTTTAAACTGTCAGCCCACTATGGCTCACACTTCCTAAAACTATTTTCTCTCCTTTAAAGAAAAAACTATTTTTGGAATCACCCTCGTCTTCCTCGTGAAATTCCGGTTCAAACGAGTAAATGTATAATGGGGTTCTGATCGCAAACAACGACACCATGAGGACTTTTAGAAATAATCATCTTGTTAATAATTAAATGAATTGTTGGCATTGTTGCTCTAAACCCCATCATACATATACTCGTTTGAACCGGAATTTTGCGACAAAAGTGATAGTGTTCTCAAAAATAATTTTACTTTTGAAGGAGAGAAAATAGTTTTAGAAAGTGTGAGACACGGTGGGCTGACATTTTAAACTGTCATACTGTCTCACACTTGAGCTTGCAGAGTGGAGACTTTCAAAGTTAGTGACGAAAAATCAAATATAACATATACACTGCAACATATACACTTTTAATAGTCATGATAGAATCAAATTTTCAAAATTGAATTTTCTTGCATCAAAAGAAGCAAATTTTTTGAGCGCAGGCGACTGTGGTGAGCCTCCCACGTTGTGCCGAACCACTTGTCCGGAGCAGGGAGGGGAGGGCGTATATCTAATGTACGCGCACCACCTGGGTGCCGACAGAGGCAAGACATCTATATGAATACGTAGATATACTGGACAGAAGTAAAGTGTGGCGTGGGCCGAAACGGACAGCGAACAGGAGGGCAGAGCGGACAAGGACAGGCCGCGGGACAGCCTAGGGCGAGCCGAGAGCGGTGGTGCTAACTACCCCGCCGGAAAATTATACCCCCAGCCCCAAACGCCCCACCTGTTCGAGGGGCCGTTCCAAACTTTAAACGACGCAACGCACCGGCCATCAAGCGCCCCGCCCCGCCCCGCCGCCGTGCAGCCGCCTTGGCCGCGCGCCCAATGGGCGGTACTAAGGAGGGTAGGCCGGCGGGGCGGGGCGGGGCGGCCCCGGGCGTGCACCCAATGTAAACTAATTTGGCGCCAACACGTGCAGTGTCAGCGCCCCGAGCGAGCCTGGGCGGTATAAAGGGCGCCTGCAGGACCACAACACGCGGGGCCGGAAGGGGGGGAGGGGGGGTTAATATCGACACAACCCCCGAGCCGCGATAAGCAAACAATAAAGAGGTACGTCGCAACAATTTTGCAATTCATTTTCGTTCGCAGAGTAGATTGTACGCATAGTGCTCTTGCTGGGCTCATGCAGCCTACATGCCCGAGCAGCCCGACGAGGGCCTGCTAGAGCGGCAGCAGCAGCCCCGGCCCAGCAGCCTCATAAACATGCAAAGCTTTTTTAAACTGATGGAGTCCCGCCACGACCCGGCAAGCAGTCACTGTCGCTCGGCCCCGCCCCGGTCCGTGGAAACGCGTGCGCGTCTCATCTCAAGCACCCTCCTGACGCACAGGTAACGGGATCCGGCGGCGAGCGCCCCCGCTATTCCAGCCTC